TTTTATTCCTCTCATGCAAACAGTAGATGTATTTTCACTGGACAGGGTAGGGTGTTTTGATCAAATATAATACTAGAGAGAAGGAGAAAGAGAGAGCATACGGCGTGTGCGTATATATATACACACTATAGTCTATATAGTATACACATACATATATATATATACACACATATACACACATCTATGAATAAATGGGTTGCTTAACAGCCTATAAAACCCCGCCACCTTACTATGAGTCTTATGGGTGTTTTCTTCCACAGAAGCAAAGGGCTAATCAGGAGAGGAAACAGGAGCTGAATTACCCCACCCACCTCCATAGCCCCTGCTAAAGCCATTTATCACAATGTTTCTCAACCTTCTGGAGCTGGCAGCTCTATAAGACGTGTTTTTGCAACCTTTTTACAAAACCTATTAAAAAATGGTATAATAACAAAGTAACAACAATACTTGTCTTAAGCACAGGCATGGTAGGGACACATGGGAGTTCCCCGGACAGCCATGGGCTATGAGATCTAGCTGTAGAATAGAAGAAGATTAACTTTGACCAGAAATGTTGTAAGTGTTCCAGAGCAAAACAAATTTAGAGGAGTTCATGGCCAGCATTGTGCAGCGTGTTAAGGTTGTATTTCCTGGATATTGATTTAGTCAATTTAACGTGAGTTACATTCAATGAAAGATAGGTACTGGTATCAGACTTGTCTTTTAATATTTGTATTTAAAAAAATTAAAAATCTCCATCTTATTACATCAGAATAAATAAGAGATGGACAGAAACAGTGTGAAAATGACTGTAAGAATTTTATTTGCCTAATCAGTGGAAGTTTAGTTCATTATCTGGTCTCTAAACGCTACTGGAACGAGAACGCTTCTGAGATGATTTTATTTGTCAGCCACAAACATTTTCGGGTAAAATCAAAAATAAGAGGTCAAAAAATGCAAGCTAGATATTGAATATGCAATTATTATTATGTAACTATGCAAAATAAAGGTAAAAGGACTTAGTGTAAAATTTAATGCTTCAGGAAGTATCTACAGATCATTAACTAAAAAAAGAGACTAGCTATAACCTGAATTTAATTCCATAGGCTTGACTTATCTGAGGACTACTGTGATATCTGCTTTCATATGGTGTTGAGAAAGCATACAGTTATGAGTCTCCAGATGAATTACCCTAAATATCAGTACACATAATAATGCCAGCAATTTGTAATATCATGGGCACCAACTGTTAATAACCAACTGTTTAATAATAACAATGCAGGGGGCTCAAATGGTCACCAATTCTGAACTGTAAGTCTTGGGATATTAAATATATTTTATTACATTTAAAATAACTTAATATCTTGAGCTACTAAATTCAGTGCTCCCAGAGGCAGAAATTCAGAACCTCCAGAGGTTTGGAGAGAGTTCCTCTGTAAGGTCAATCTGTTCTGCCCAGGCCAGACAGCACAACTGAACTTCCTGGGACTGCTTAAGTAACACCACACAAGCAAGCATAAACTGTAGGACTATCTCCAGCTGTCACTTAGAGCTACTTGAGACATCAGTCCTATAGAAAAACCCAGATTCCCCTTGGATATATTCAGATTTTACAGAGTGCAGATAATATTATTCATATCAAAATTTTACATTGCCAACTATTTATATTTTCCCTTAAGCTAAGCTATTTTTACTGCTAAGTGTGTGTCCTGAGGAGACTTCAGAAGTGTAATTTACACCTGATGCCATTTTTCCTGGCTCCTGCTGGAGAAGAGTGAAATAATCCCGTTTTTGGTTATTGTGTAGTTTTCCACCATTCTCCTGAGTCTTGTCACAGCTAACACTCACTTTCCATTGCTTTTCAAATGGCTTCTTCCCAAATCCCTGCCCCTTTCTCTGCCTCCAGCTGAAGAGCATTTTGGAGACATAAATCAGAGAAGGAAAGGTGTTTTTCTCCTCTGGAAGAGCCACTGTCTCTGAAAGTGGCACTTGGGGATATAATGTAGGGGTGACTGTTGTGGTGCTAGGGTGATAGTTGGACTAGATGATCTTCAAGGTCTTGCCCAACCCTGGTGATTCTGTGATCCTCATTAAAATGAAAGCATAGAGAATTATTTTCTCAGTTTTGTGTTGTGAGATTGAGATGCTTTATGTACATATTGGCAAATTTCAAACACTGGAAACCTAACTTGCAGCAGTGCACAGGTAATATCATTTTGACAGTCTTGGTCCTGACTGGATTTCATATTTGTCCCATTTATTAGTTGTCCTGTGATGGCCCCACAGATATTTCCAAAATAATCTTTCAAGTGTATACCAATTATCACTGGCAGAACTGCAATAAACAGTTCTTAATGGCCCAGTAGGTTTGTAATCCAGGTTCAGCAAGCACTTCCAAACCAAAACCATTTCTCTGGAGGCAAATTTATTCTCTAAATGAGATTTCAACTGAAAACCTTCATGTTTAAGCATATTAACTGTAGGCTTCTTCTGACAACAAAATTAAGCAGGCTCACTCCAAGGAATAGTTGCTGCAATTTAGACAACTACTGAAAACAGATTTTAACATTATGGTTGTAAACTGTGCAATAGTAATATGGTAAAAAATTTTAGCTGGAACCAAAATATTCATTATCTAAAGCCAGAAATGAAGGTTCACTTGCATTCTTTTGCATAGTAAATTATCAAATGTCTCTTAGATAAAGCTGATTGCCTTAACTCAAGAAAAAAATTATTCTGACTGCATTTATTAAAATCTATGTTTACATGTGATTCCTGTTTGACTGAATAACTTCTAATCTCATTTAGATGTCTCTTACTGCATCATGTAGTGAAAAATAAAATGAATGTATGAGAAAATACAACTGGGCCTTTTTGGAATAAATATAGGAAAGATACAAAATAAAATTTAAAAAATTTTCCTTGTGAAAATTAAAAATTTCAAGGCCAAAATAGGCAGAATAAATAGTAAAAAAATAGATATTTTTAAATAATTCACACATGAATGCCCATTTCCTGCAATCACCTAGGGGGAAAAAAGTTTGTCATACACTTCATTCAAACATTATAGTTACAAACTTAAACACCAAAACAAATAAACAAACAAACAAAAAACTGTTGTTGGTTGGTTGGTTTTGTTGTGGCTTTGTTTTTGTTTTTTTATCTGGGATTTTTGCTGAGTCTGCATGGCCCTGGCAGTTTTCTGTATGGGACAATGGTGGTCTTGTCTTTAGGGAATTTTCCTTCATTTAGAAAGCTTTATTAGAACAGAATATCACTTGTCAGCCTGCATCCAAATTTAGACAAATTGAGAGGTCCATACATATTGTGCAAACACAAACACGGCTGTATTAGCACTTAATCACTTTTAAGATCCCAACACTGGAAACAACTTATTTGAACACTAAACTTCACTGTTAAGGACGATTTGTTAACTTTTTCACAAGCCATTTTTCATCTGCCCTCTCAAATATTGCTTAGACTTCCTGATTTCAAAATCTGGTCAGGAACTTGAATGGCCTTTCTGGAAAAGTTGCCTCAAAAGGACAAGGGTAACCACACGCTGCTGCTTTTTATTTCTCTTTCGGAGAGAGAGGGGCTGTTTATACTGCATTTTTACCACATTTTGGATTTGTTGGGTGCTGGAGGTGCAGGGAGCACAGTGCGCTCTTCGGTCAGTGTGGGAGCACTCGCGGTCTCGCCGCCTCAAAATCCGCCTCCGCTTTTTTTCCCCCTTTTCTTCTTTTGGAGAGAGATAGGGGGTGTTTTCAGCGTCTTTCTACCGCATTTTTACCGCATTCTGCCTTTATTTAATGCTGGAAGTGCAGTGCTGGAGGGAGCACAGCCTGTTGTTCGGTCAGTGTAGGAACACTCGCGGTCTCGCTGCCTCCGCTTTGCCCCCCCTCCCCTTTTTTTACTTTTTACTACATTTTGGCGTTGATGAATGCTGGAGGCAGCACAGGCTGCTGTTCGGCCAGTGCAGGAGCACTTGCGGTGCCGGAGGCGGCTCTTGAGGCGGCTGGACCGCGAGTGCTCCGTAAATAAAACGGGGGTTTTGTTTACCACCCTGCCGCGGGGCCTGTGCGGCGCAGGCGGCTTGAGCCTGCCCCCACCGCCACGACCACAGAGACAGCAACCTTCCCTCTTCGCCATCCTCCCCCGGCCGCAGTGAGGGGAAGGTGGGGGCGATGACCGCTCCCGGTTCCCCCTTCACCGCCCTCACGTCGGGGCGGGGCCGTGCGCGCTCCCCGAGGCAGCGCGGGTGCAGGGGGAGGGGGGCCGGACCGCGCCATGGCGCGGGTGGCCAATGGGGTGCGGCCACCCGGCGATTCAAACGGCGCGTCCCGACCAATGGGCGCGGTTGGCGGGCGGGCGAGGGGGCGGGGCCGTGCGCGCGGCCGTAACCGTCGCTCGGCGGGGCGGTTGTTCCGTCGGCGCAGCGCGGCGCGCGCTCGGGCCCCGCTGCCGCCCCGCTCCCGCCGCTCCGCGGATCCGCCTCCGGCACGGCCCCGCGCGGGCGGCATCCAGGTAACGGGCATGGCGCCGCGCGCGGGCCGGGATAACAGCCTCCCCCTCCCTCCCAACCCCTTCCCAACGGCTTTCCCTCCGCGGCCTTCCCCGCGGCGGGGAAGCGCTCCCGCTGATCGCCGCCGCCGTGGCCGCGCTCGGGCCTCTCTGGGGGTGGAGCGGCGCGGGCCGCTGGCTCGGGGACCCCGGGGGTGGCCGGGCCGGGCGCTCCCGCTTTGTTCGGCGCCGCCGCGCCGGGCTCTGCGCCGGGATAGGCCGCCGAGGGGCGGCGCAGCCCCTCCCTCCCTCCCTTCCCCCGCGGCGGAGGCCCCGCGCCAGGCCCGGGCCAGGAGCGCGGGCAAGGCGGGGCCGGGGGGCCGGGCCTGGCCCGGCACGTGGGTCCCTTCCTGTCAACGCCGCCTCGCAGCCTCCTGCGCGGGGAGAGCGGGTCCCCGCCGCGCCGCCCGCCGTGCTGCCGCTGGAGAGCGTCTTTAAAGGGGAGATCCCTCGTTTCCCGGCCCCAGGGTTGATGGGTTTTAATTTTTACTTTGAGGCTGATGTGTGCTTGTTTGTAGCGGTGGCGCTGATTTGGCTTGGACAGGGCTAGGTGTTTTCACCGTCTGGAGGTGAAGAGCTGGAAATGTGGACAGTGTAGTGGTGATGCTGGAAGGGTCGTGCACAGCTCAGTCTCTTTAATGAATTCAGTAGCAACTTTCCGTGTGGGCTGTGTCTTGTTAGCCTCGACTGTCAGTGCTCTCTTTATTCTCTTGCATTTCTTCTTGCATTCAAATGGCTCCTTCCTCTGACATAAAGAACATTATCTACCAGTGGTGAGGTGTCAGAATTAGTAAGTGGAACCACTGAATATGTATGAACTTTGATCTTTGAAGAGGGAAAGCTTGTTTAGTGTTTATTTATTTACTCTTAAAACTAGGTACCCAACCTCTGATGATGAGGTATGATCTTCCAGTGGCTACAAGCTGGTAGTCTTATTTCTCCACAGTGAAATATCTTTCCACATCTCTAGAGAGAGAGCCACTAAGATAGACCAGAAATGGATGCGTGGGTTAATATGTTTCTCAGCCATGTTTCTCTTTACTTATTTCATTCTTGGTTGAGTCAGCAGTAACTTTTCTTCTTGGCCAACTTTTAACCTCCAAGGAGTTTCGTATTAATTATCTTGCTTGATCTAGGATATAAAATCTGTTTTTTCCATTTCCCTTTGAGTCTGGGTTTCTAAAGGAAAATGATAGTGGTGCAGAAAACACAAACTTCGTCTCATAAGTAACTGTAGTTGCAATCTGATGTCTGTACAGCACGGGGTTCATCATATGAAATGATTTTCCTTGGATACATAATTTGAAGCCCTGTGAATTGAACGTCTTGTGTAGGACTGCTGTGAACATTAGGCTGACGCCAGCTGATACCCTGAAAATTGTCAGGGGTGTGTGTAGAGCTTGAAAGAGCAGTACATTCAAAATGTAATCTCTTAGGTGCGTTTTTTTTTAAAGACTTCCTGTCTTTATTTTTCTCGATGTCAGTAATCTTGTCTGTTATCTGAACAGATGAAGGCTGACTTTAAAAGGTGTAGCTTTTTGAAGTGGGATAGCAGGAATGAGGATTGTACACCTCCTTCACAGGAGGCACTGAGGTGCAGAACATGGTGGTTACTTTTGATAGGGTAAGAATTTATATTAATTTCTTTTAGTCTTTAATGATTGAGCTTATTGTTAAGCTTTAATAATTAAGGAAAAGAATTGAAAAATATATAGGTTTTCCCATTAATAAGATTGTTCATTACTTTTGAGTCAGAAGATAGTATTTGCACTTGCTTAAATTTATTATTCAGGAATTTCATATCAGTGATATCTACATTGGGCTGAATTGATTTAGCTACAGGTTCTTCAGCCACATTTTTCAATTTTTTCAAACTAACCAGCTCCTTTTTAGAACCAGTTTGGGGGAGGGGAAGGTCTTCCTGCTTTTTACAAGAATTAAATCATCAGGTTACCTTTTCTTTCGGCTGTCTTTATGTTTGCATACAAAACTGTTGAAGTCTAGCAGAGAGTTACATATCATTATCCCATGAAATTTTATCTAAATTTTGAAGTGGTTGTTAAAAAATGTAAAAATCAGTGTACATGTCCTTAATAACAGCTTTTGAAAAAACGTTTCCCCTTTGCAAAAAGGACTTACCCTCCAAAGATTTTGTATTTCCCACCTTTGTCCGAAGATCTGCCAGCTTTGTCCTGGTCAGGCTCTAAATTCACAGATGATGGCTGAGGTGCTCCAGGTCAACAGAAGAAACAGTTGGCTGGAGTGCAGGAAGTACAACAGCAGAGAGGAAATGAAGTCATGTGTGAGGTTATGACATCTGGTGAAAGCTGGAGGATCGGTGTTTAGACTATTTATGGAAGAGGAGGAGGAAGCTGTAACTGTGGGAGGCTGGGGAAAGAGCAGTAGTAGACATGGATCTGCTGAAGAACTGTCTTTTGGGTGAGAAAATTGGCCAAGGAGGCAGAGATGGGGATTGAGATCAGGCTCGAGCCCAGAGGTGGCAAAGAGGAACTGGAAATGCTTGGGTGAACAAGGGCAGAAAAGACAGGAAATCCTGAAAGAATCAAAGAGCGGGGGGGATGAGGAGAGAATGAAGAATTTGAAATGAAAATATGGAAGTTGTATTTCATGGAGTCGTCAGAAACAGGGCTATGAATTTGAGTGGGTTAAACTGACTGGGATAAAACAGTTGAAGGAGTGGGAATTCAGAAAGAATAAGACATTAACAGGAAGCTGGGACAAGAAACACTAGTTAGAAGACAGAGGAGCTGGAAGAGCATGTGCCTACAAGCATAGGCTAGAACTCTGATAATTTTTCCAGCTGGCAAGTGTTAGTGAAATCAAATTATAAAACTCCTTTTTTTCTCCTTCAAATGTTTTACAGCAGAGGAGATGGCCAGATATTTCTGTTCTGAAGCAGTTAGGAATATTAGCAGTAAAATCCATATGAGGGAGTTTTGCTGAGTTTTTCGTTTCTTTGACTTGGAGAGCTACATAGGTTTAAAATCTTAACAGCAGCAGCTTCAGAAAATGCCAGAACAAATGTTGATGAAAAAAAACCTCACTGAGCCCCATCCCCCAAGAATCTAACTTTTCCCTGCAGGTTAGTTAATGTGTAATGAATGAGTATCTAGTTAAATACTTGCTTTCACCTCAGTTTATGTGGCATCACATCTTATTTATAGCAAACAAGTTAAAATGCTTTGACACAAAAACATTTGTTGGTTTGTTTGTGTCCTGTCCCTCTCCCCCCATCCATTCTAAGTTCCTGTGTTCACTGTACAGGTGGTGCTAATATATACATTGGTATATGTTTTATCTTAGACTTTTAAGGTAGCCTCACTTGATATGTGAGATCTGAGACTATGAAGTTCAGGTTAAAAGTATGTTCTACTTTGGATATTTATTTTCAGAAGGCAATGACACAATATAAGGCATTTTACAAACAGTTATACAGGACTTTACATTTAAAAACAACTTTCTCTAAGTTGTAGTTGTGGGGTTTTTCCAGCACTTGGTGGGGTGAATCAAGGGTAGTAGTCACTTGCACCATGTTTTGCTAATATCAAGTAAAAACCTTAAGGTGCTGAAAGGGGGATAGACTTTAGTTTTTCAGGTTACTGTGTGATGGCTCTGATACTGTACTTTGTTTTCCTGTGGGCCCCTGCAAAAGGCTTTACAAACCTTGTGCTAAATAGATGGAAAAGAGAAAATAACTCTGCCCAGACAGGAGCCTAAATTCTGAAGTTTCCTAACTTTCAAATATTTGGCATAATAAGTTGAAAAAAATATGTAATGTGGCTGTAAGTTTTGAAGAGATTTGGGAATGTTTAATATTTAGAAATCATCACGTCTGTAATATCTGTAGAACCACAGGGAAAGTGGGTTAGAGGACTCATAAATACCATCCAATTTGCATTTTGTCCTCTAGATAAGATGAGCTGCATTATGTAATTTTGGTTAAATATTTGCTCTGCCTGATGATGGAGGTTGTATATCATAGTTGAGTACTAGTCTAGTACATTGGAACACTTTTCCAGAACGTGTATCTTCGGTCTTCACTCTATTTGGAAAATAAATCATTGCCGTTTTCTTATCAAACAACTTTTTCTTTGTTTAAAGTAGAGAGTTGTTTTTTTCCAGCCTAAATGATACTTCTGTAGAGAGTAGGGGGAAATTAAACCTAATATTTGGCTGTCGTATGCACTGACTTATTTATTTTCTAGGGATTCTCTTTGGAAAATGCCAAGCCGGAAGTATGCTGATGGCGAGGTGGTGATGGGCCGTTGGCCAGGAAGTGTCCTGTACTATGAAGTACAAGTGACCAGTTATGATGATATTGCTCATCTTTATACTGTCAAGTACAAAGATGGAACTGAACTTGCATTGAAAGAAAGTGATATAAGGGTGAGTACACATGTATGTAAGTATCAGTGTTTCTAGTGGAAGATTACACTGACTCTGTGATGTAGCTAAAAGTGGAACTTTGGATTAGATAGTCGTTTTACAGGTTTTTGTTAACTATGTCTTCAAGGAATTGGTGCTAAATATTAGCTGTTTCCTGTGTGACATCTCAGGTAGTCAAGTTCTGAAACCCCATCTTTAAAGAAGTGTGATTGTTTGCTTTATGTTGAAAGAAACGGTGCTGTTTTTGGGCAAAACCAAGTCTGATCCTTTGGGAACTCTCTAACATGATTCTTCATGAAAAATCCGTGTGGGGTACCTTATAAAAGCAGTAATCAGAGGGCTGATGCTAATTTGACATTTTTCCACCTCTAAATAAGAAAATTTGGAAACAAATGAAAACCTGTAGTTAAGGATCATTATAAATATAAATAGTGTGTACCCTTTAAGCACATAAGTTGTGGAAAACTGTCTATAAAATTAGCTATCGCATCTAAGTAAATGATTTAGCTGACTTGGATTTTTTTAGGGTTGATTTGATCTGTGTTGCCTTAAACAGATGATGACATCTTGCTATGTCAAATGCATTAATAAAGCTGAGTAATGGAAATATGGAAATGAGAGCAGTCTCTTAGGGCTTAAGAGACAACTATCAATTAAATTCCTTATGAAAAGGATTGAGAGGCCTAAGAGCTTGGTGTTCGCATTGGTAGCTTACATCCATATCCTGATTTCTGTAGTTCTGATAGGAATTGTCAGAAGCAGTTGGACCTGGGACAGGATTGTTTGGGAGTTACCAGCAAAATGAGTATGCTGCAGTTGCTCTTTTTTAACAGCCTTTGTACAGCATCAATTAAGAAAATTAGAGACAAATCTACAAATCTATGCCAGGGTCCTTGTTACAAAAAATGCCACCTTGTTTCTAAAATTTTTCTTTGGAATATAGATAAGATTTTGCTTTCTCCTCTGCTTTCTTTCAGTCTCAGTCATCATTCAAGCACAGGAAGAGCCAGTCATCTTCAAGTTCTCCCTCCAGAAGAAGCACCAGCAGATCTCGATCCAGGTCCCCTGGTCGGCCAGGGAGAGGGAGACGTCGTTCTTCTTCCCAAAGCAGAGAACATAAAGACGACAAAAAGAAAACCATTCAGGAAACCAGCTTAGCTCTACCAGCGGTATTAATTTTGTTTGTTCTTTGTGTGTGGGTTTGCCAGATTTTTTTCTAAACCCACATTTTTGCTGTTTATGAAAGATTGGTTTCATTCTTACTGGGTTTTTCAAGCCACCTGTAGGTCATGTTCCTTGAACAACATAATTAGCTGCAAAAGTGTATCTCAGAAGTACCTTTTTTTTTTTTTTTCTTTGAAAATAGGGTTTCTGGCTTTCAGAGTTTGAGGAAGTTATTGAAATGTAAACTTACGTTATCAAATTCCATTTGAATTTGCTGATGCTGTGAAGTTCTCAGAATCCAAACACACACAAATTCTTTTTACCTCTTAATATTAAATCATTGTTAGCCATGTGCTTCCACTGTGAAACGGGGCAAAGGAAGTTAGCCAGCCTATTTTTAAGATGTTTTGATCAATACATAGCAGGTAGGTATTAGAAGTTTAAATTAAATGAGTTCTATTATCATATACAGTTGATTACAGCAGTAATGAAAAATGTATGAGAACTGTTGCAGAATTCAAGTGTGGAATATTTAAATATGGCCTTACTGATTGATACTGTTTGCAAAACTGTTTTCGTTATGAAAATAGCCTCTAAGGATTTCAAAGTTTATCAAATATCTGGTATTTAACTGAAATTTATTGGTTTTGTTCTTGGCATTTTTGTGAAGATTAGAACAAGTGTTAAAAATTATTCTGGTGATCTGTAAGTGAAGAACAGTAGAGGTGATGTTTCTTTATTAAGAAACAAACAGCATTTCTTCTGCCTCTTGAGCCCTTGAGATAGCTTCTCACTTGTCCCAGACACAGTCCCTTGAACTGGAAGTCTCTTCTGCTGACCTGTTAAAAATAGACAGGTTTTAGTTGGGTTTCAGCTAAACTAAACTAGATCAATCTAAACTAAGTAGATAAGTTCAGTAAGTTGCTGCTATTGAAAGCACTCTTTGGCACTGAAGTTGCTGTGATTTTTGTTTTTTGGTGAACTGCTTTGAGCTGTGTGACCCAGTGCCTGTGGACCACCTGTTCATTTTAAGTAGTTTGTAGCCAGCAGCTACACTTTGTTTTTTGTACTTCTTGAACCTTTTGGGACAAAAAGGTTAAAATATCTTTTGTCTTTTTCTCATGACTTCTAATTGAGGAGTAGCTTTGATCTTGGTTGTTGTACAACTGGGTTGACCTGGTCCTGTCCAACCGAGCTTAGGGTGAAATGAAACAGAACACGAGTCGTGTCTTCCCAGAGTTGTGTAAGCTAGGCTCATGAAAGGAATTTTTGTAAGACAATTTATTTCTTCAAAGATATTTAATGGAAAACCAATTCTCAGTCCTGCAGAGCAGTGCCATGTACAGGACACTGAATTTCCCCTGCTTGACACTAGCAATATTAAATAGACATGTATTTTGTGCTTGGCAGTTCCTAATGATAAGTTAAAATAACTCGGAAGCTGTATTCTCTCTTAATTTCACAGTTTATTAAAAAAAAACCCCAACCTTTTCCTTTACTTGTTTGTGAACTGAAACTGTGTACTTTGGATATTGAACCCTCTTGTTTTCCGGTGGAGAAAACCAGAGCAGTTGCAGTTGCCAAAAAAAAACTAGACAATGTTCTTAATTTTTCATAATATACTCACACTTAATGCAGCTTTTATTTTCAGAAAGCTAAAATTATATTTCTCCTTTTAACCAGAAGCCGAGTGAGAATAACACCAAAAGGTACAACGGTGAACCTGAAAATACGGAAAAAAATGATACATCCCGCATAATCTTGGAGGTATGAACACTGTATTTGCTCTTAGTTTTATCTTGCATTCTAACTTGGCTATCTCAGAAATTCATAGACAAAGGCACTACAGTAATCAAGCAAAAATAGAATGCAACATAAAACTTTGAGGTCCAGTAAATTTGCTGTCCAGCAAACCAATTTCAGGGGAGAGGGAGATGAAATTGGGAAGGGAAAAATACTAGAGCTGCATAATGTTCATTTTTCTTGGTTTGTTTTCTTTTTTCCATCGAACCATCTCTTATATTCATTCTGATGCTTTTACAGTGTGAATATTTGTCTGTAGAAAGTGTTTTAAATTTCAGCCAAATCAGCTCTTTAGTCCTGATTGTCAGTTAATGCACAGGGTTATTGCAGAAGGGAAAGGAGGAGGGTGGGAATGCGTGACCTGTACTGGAACTGCTGCTGATATGTAAATCACAACATAGTTGATCACAATAACTCTGGTTTTAGCAGTCCCTTCATGTGAATGCATAAACTTCTACTGTATAGAAGACATTGTACATTAGTGGTTTATAGTGAGTAATGTCTTCTAAATATAAAATACTGGAGTAAAATAAGCTGAAATCACTGGGAATCATTTTAGTAACTTATTTTTGTTCATTAACAGCAAAAGTTAAAACCGGACCTGGAAGTAAAGCATTTTGAACAGTACAGCCTGCGTTCAAGGAAAGATGAAAGGAAGAAAGATGAGATATATTCAGAGAAAAAGATTTTTACGACAGTAAAAACAATTGAGAAAGCGCTGTCGAAAACAAAGGAGCTGGAGTTTGGGGGAAGAATTGGTATGTGTGCAAATTGTCTTTTAATAGTTGAAAATTAGTACTGTTCTGTGGGTTTTTTTACTTACTGACCGCACTGTCATGTCAAGAACAGTTTTTCCAGGTTTTTGGACCCTGGTTTGTAGAGTTCAGAGTGGTATGATAGTGCCACACTTGGTATGATGGCAGTCAAAGAACCATTATTACATTGGTTCTCGTGTGAAATACAGTGAAGATCTTGTACCGTCTCTCGCACAGTGAGATCTAAGTATTTCTAAATTAAATTTAGAAGTAACTAGCAAAGGTTTTACACTTTCAAAACTTAGGTGCTTTGAACTTGACAGTAAAGTATTCGTTTTACAGGTTTTTGACCAGTTTTAAGGGGATGCAGTGAGTGTGATCCTTCAGTAGATGACCTTGTATGGAAGTGAGAAAAATGTCTGTCCCATTATGAGACTAGGGATTGCTGCTGTCTTGCTTCAGGAATAGACAGACAACCTTTTCTTTTTTACTAAAGTAAATATTGAGCTTTTTTTTTCAGTGGAATTGAAACTGTTGGGTTTTTTTTTATTTTTTTATGTTTATCTTCTAATATTCCATGATGTCTGTTTACAGGGACCTTCATGCTGATATTTCTCCTGCCTGCTACTGTATTCTACTTGCTGTTAATGTGTAAACAAGATGACCCCAGTCTTATGAACTTCCCTCCTCTTCCAGCAATTGAAAGTCTTTGGGAGACGAGGGTGTTTGGTATTTTTGTCCTGTGGTTTTTCCTTCAAGCTCTGTTTTACTTGCTGCCGATTGGAAAGGTAGGCTGTGTGGTAGCAACTGGGGCTTTATGGGCAACTGATCTGTGCATTGGGCGGTGTGTGTTCTTAATTGGGTGGGGTGTGTTCTTAATGCAGCAAATTTGAAAACAAATAAATAATTTTCCATAATAAGGCAGGATATGGCTACTGCAGATTTCTGTAAGCTTAAAACAGCACAGTTTGTTAAGAATTCGTGCATTTCAGAGTCTTTCAGCAGAAGAGGCAGAAAGCATTATATAGGCATTCAGATCAAAGCATGGATAAAACTTGATAGAATTCTAGAAGAATTTCAGGTATCTGACTTTTAAATTCACAAACCGTTTGATACTCAGTTTCTTATGGATATCCAGCATTTTAGAATATCATCTTCACTTACACAAAGCTATAAACCATTCTAACCATATGAATATCTGGCGAATGCTCTTTTGACATTAGGGCTACTGACAGATTGTGAAAGGACACTAAAGTAGTTAACAATAATTGGAGCAGCTCTGCTTTCTTGAGGCTGGTTAGGAAGAGATTTATTTTTTAAAAGTTTTTTAATTGAAACGGTTAACCTTTTGATATCTAAGGTACATTTTTTTAGCACAATCCTCAGATTTGATTGTGTCCAGCTGGTTACCTTGATTTGAATGTCTTTCTGGCAGAGTACTTGGTTTCCTCCCCCACTAGTGCTCCCAGAAAGTACTTTGTTGAACACTAGTATTTTACTCTTCCTAGACTGTAGAAGGCCTGCCTCTTTCAAATGGAAAGAAACTACAGTACCGGATAAATGGTAAGCATGTTGCAGTTGCTTATTCTGAGATTGATTCCAATATGTGATTTGCAGTGCTCAGCACCATAAAATACAAATTATGAAAGATACATCCTATGGTTAAACTGTATGTGTTGTAAATATTTTATGAAGTAGGGTGAACTTTTTCTTGGAAGAAGATGGTTAGTAATCATCAGGAACTAACTGCCCCAAGAGCAGGACATTACACTATGCAGGGCACCTGATCTGCATTCAGTTGTGGCTCCTGTCATATTCCTTGCTAAATGGGGAGTTGTCTATCAGGAAGTGTTAGTGATGCTCATGTGGCAAAGACTGTTGTTCAGGAGGAGTGATCTGAAGACATCCCATCCCCTGTGTCTAGATCATCGTGGATGTCTCTGATTTACAGAAGAATGTTGTGATTTAAGATGTTCTTATTCCCACCTGTCACAGTTCAGAGCTCTTAATTAGAACTGATTTCGCTTCCTATGAGTAAGGCAAGTTTCTCATCTAGTTCAAGAGTATGGTTTAACATACTTCAGCAGTCCTGCTTTTTCTGGCCTTAATAGGAACGTGCACTTTGATGCTTTGCGGGTATTCCACACTGCCTATTTGACTTAGTCAGTTCAAGGACATTGTCTGGTAGTAGTGGAATCCAAATGTTAAATTAAATAGTTGAGGTTTAACATAGTCTGGTAAGATGCACCATTTTAAAGTCAGAATAGGGCTGTAAATCACAGAAACAGGGGGAATCACATCCTGCAGAAGTGAGTCATATTGAGGTTATCTCATACCTTTGATGGTACGTGGCCAGTGCCAGGCAGTGGGCACAAACTGAAGCACAGGAGTTCCATCTGAACATCAGGAGGCTCCGTCTGAACATCAGGAGGCACTAGATTAGATGAGCTGTGGAGGTCCCTTCTAACCTCAACTACTGTGACCCCGTGACCAGGTTTACAGAAAGTCCCTTGATGAGAGCAGTGTGGAATTGCCTGCTCATATTAGAGCATCAATCCATTCCGCATGGTTTGATACTCTCAAAGGGTACAAAGTTTTGTGTTCAAGTTTTGACTTGATAGTTACTTAATAGTTTAGCACCTGCTGTCTGTATCAAGTTGTATATGACTTGCTATTATCAGTTAGTAGTGTCAGTGTCCATTTTTCCACTACAACCTGAAATTAGATACTGTGTTATAAAAAATGTAGGAGTGCTCCTGCCTCCTGTCCTCAGAAGTTTGGACTGAGAGCTTGGGATGTGTAAGACATTATTGGAATATGGGCAAATCTTGGAAAAAAAGGAAAATGCAGATAGCTTGGGGAGGTTCTACTAGAAAGGTATTTTTTTTTATTTTGGCTAATATATCTTTCTTCTACATCCTTTAGGGTTTTATGCTTTTATTTTCACTGCTGCAGCTATTGGAATTTTATTATACTTTCAGTTTGAACTTCATTATTTGTATGATCACTTCATGCAGTTTGCAGTGTCAGCTGCAGCTTTTTCTTTGGCATTGAGCATTTATCTGTATGTTCGGTCCCTGAAAGCACCTGAGGAAGAACTGGCACCAGGTGGAAATTCTGGTGAGTTATAAAATATTTTGGATAACTTCTTCCCAACTGTCTGCTGCAGTTCATTTTTATGAATTAAAGGCTAGGATTTAGGGCTTGTTAATATAATACTTTGACTTTCACTTTCTACAAATGTAAAGATAACATTAAAAATTAACTGGCAAATTTTTGTTCTCACTTGGATACTGTAAAATGCTTAAAATTTTCGTTGAATTTTCTATGGAATAAGATCTTGGCTGGTGTGGTCTCCTATGATGAGAGGAGAGTTCCTTCCTTTCAGTTTTCAGGATTTTTTTGTCTGAGAGGCCTGTGTAGTTTGCTTCATAGTGCCCCTGCCTTTTCTTGAAACAGCTGAGAATGCAAAAAAACCCTGAAAAATGTAAATGTTTTGGCAGTGGGAAGTCGGGTACAGAACTTGAAACTGCAGTGCGTTTCTAAACTTTTATTTTGCCATGTGTTTTGAAATTCTATTTAGCTGAGTGGAGTTTTCAAAAGAGATTTTGATTCAGTCATGAGACTACCTGTCTAGAAAGTATCAATTATATGCATATGTTTTTGTAGGACAAAGGATAGATTGAGAAGTCTGTTAGCACTGAATATCGAACTGCCATCATAAATGACTAAGGGTGACTGAGAAAGGAAGTTCACGGACAGAACACTCAGTGTATTACAATGAAGTATTCAAATACCCTTAGTTCTGTGGTTAGTGCAGCATGTTCTGTGTGTGAAGGGAAATAAATTATCATACTTTTTTTTTCTTCAAAAAGTGCAGTTCTACTCTCTGCAAGTACCATAGTAGCATTCTGTAAGTTTTCTGCAAAGTGTTTTTTGCAGACTCAGTCCAGGGTATCTTGAAGTCCAGGCATTTTGCTTCTTTGTCTCTTTTAATGGACAGGTAATCATAGCTAAAGGAATTCTTTCTCCCAGAAAAAAACCCAATGAAATAGGAGGGAAAATAGAATTAATTAATGCCGTAAGATGATGTTCATGGAGACTGTGATGTGAGCTTCAGGATGAAGCTGAAAATAAGGAACAGGTGTCAAGGAGAAATAAGCTAATAGTAACTTCTAAAGTGTTTAATCCTCTTAATAAATAAAATATTTGGGCATCTTCAAATACAAAGCATATGGATTTTGCTTTGTATTTTGCATATACTCTTCAATTTTTTTCCCCCAATATAAAAGCTTTTAAAAATTGATAATGGGGAGAGCGTTAATGGAAAGTAGGATCTTATTTGTGAGACTGAGTATAGTGGGAGATAAAAATGAATAGTATTGCTAACAGAGGCTGTGTCTTATCTGCAGGGTATTTTATTTATGATTTTTTTACTGGACATGAATTAAACCCTCGTATTGGCAGTTTTGACCTTAAATACTTCTGTGAGTTGCGTCCAGGATTAATTGGCTGGGTGAGTCAGTAATCCTAGTTATTTTATTTGCTTAAATATTACACAGAGATTGTGGGGTTTTATATGTATAGTTGGTATGAAGGATTTTATGTATATTTATAAATGGGGAGGGGGGGAAGTACTGAAAAACATTTCCACATTGCCAGATTTTTTTATGACCATTTTAATTCACTTTAGGGAAATTTCTAGCTTCTTTGCTTTGTGGGAAATGAAAACCTTTCTTTAAATATTCATATGTTGAGGTTATATGGTTTTGAAAGTGTGGTTAGTTGCAAACTTTGGCTTTTTTTTTTTTTTTAAACTCAAACCTTGTTAAAAATATCTATGTTAAAGTGTTCTACAGTGTAACTGAAAAGACCACTTGAACAAGGAAATTTTTAAATAAAATATTTTCTAAACTAGGTTGTTATAAACTTGGCAATGCTGTTGGCTGAGATGAAGATACACAATCTGAGTATGCCATCCCTGTCAATGATACTTGTGAACAGCTTTCAGCTTCTGTATGTGGTGGATGCTCTTTGGAACGAGGTAAATGACAGTCTTGTTAAACTGTGTTAGCATTTCTGAGTGCAGTGTCAAATGAAGGAGGCTTTTTAAATTCTAAATTCCTTCCTCCTTGTTTTTAGGAAGCCATTTTGACTACAATGGATATTACCCATGATGGATTTGGATTCATGCTGGCATTTGGAGATTTGGTGTGGGTTCCATTTGTCTACAGTCTGCAGGCCTTCTATTTAGTGGGTCATCCTACGGTGATTTCTTGGCCTGTTGCTGCCGCAATTACTGTTGTGAACTGTAAGTTACAGTAAATGTTATCGTTACAACCTAGTACTGATTTTGTTTCTTTGAGATGTGAGGTGGAGCTTTAGCTCAGATACAGTGCTCCTGTTTTCTGTATTAGAGCTGGTGGAAGCACGTGCCTGGCTGCTGTTTAATGCAAAGAATATATTTATTAAATGAAGGGTAGATGAGACTGAACACCTAATCGTTCTGTTGAGAGGCATCTTTAGGTGGATGCTCTCTGGAGTTAAGTGACTTGAAATGTTTAGAATTTGACTTTAAAACATATCTGTTAATCTGGATGATTGTGAGTGAGTTAAAAAAGAAGTCAGTACCTTGTTGGCTGTGCTTTACTTTTTCCCTAGGTTCAGTGTTTGCATCTCCTTCCCTGGTGCCCAAGTTACACACACATGTCAAAGGAAAACTTTTTTTTCTAACTGAGTGCTTTGAGAAAGGATCTCATGTCTCCTCTTTAGGTGACCTTGAGTTTGCACCAACACAGCCTTGTAGTTTGTCCCTTTTACCTGAACAGTAAACCTGAAAAACCTGCCTGTTTTTTATAGACATGGCAAAGAATTTAAACACTTGAAAAAATTAAAAAGGCATACAACTTAATATGTGCAATACTTAGAAATACAACAGCGCTTTTTCATCTTCAGTAATGGTTTTACTTACTTTTTTAAGAACATCTCTATTTGAAATATATTTTGATCATCTTTGCTCAGTACAGCCTTGGTAAAAGCAGATTTAAGCTGCTGTGTGAAAACGATGAGGGAAATTAATTTCACAATTAGATAGTTCATTGTCTGGTTCTTTTATTGCTGTGAACTTGTAAATTGTTGGTCAGTGTATGGAGTAGGCACTGTAGCAAAATACAAGCAATAGACCTGTTGTTTTACAAAGTGCAGCACATCACCTTTATGTGAATTTCACACTCAGTGTTACATTAATAAACTATGTCAGATACAAATGTAAAAAATAGATGTCAAAATAAAGCTTCTCCAAAATCTTAAGAAAGTCAGTAAGGTGTAAGAGCATATGGAATTCAGGTTTCTGATGTCATTTCTGTCTTGTTAGGATTCTGTAAACCAGAAAGTATCAGTTGCATCTCTGAGGAAAAAGGCTGAAGTGATAAGAGTTAGTAGTTTTGCTGAAGTAAAGAAATCTGGAAAGTACTAATAATGCAAAATAAATCATATTTATTTTCAGGTATTGGGTATTACATATTCCGTAGTGCAAATTCTCAGAAAAATAATTTCCGAAGGAATCCCGCAGATCCCAAATTGGCCAGTAAGTACATTTTTTATTCAGTTGCTATACAATGTGTCTTTGTGGTATTTAAATATATATTTCAAGTGTTGTATTGACTACAATACTCTATTCACAGATCTGAAATTTATACCCACTGCAACTGGAAAAGGACTTCTTGTCACGGGTTGGTGGGGTTTTGTTCGTCACCCTAATTATCTCGGTGACATCATCATGGCTCTAGCATGGTCCCTACCCTGTGGTACGTTTCTGAAACTAAAGTGGATTTTATAAAAAACGCTTTTATGTTTTGGCATCTGGCTGGATTTGAATTGTAAAGTGATAATTATTTGGGATATTAAACCCTATAACACACTGAATGGCCAATTTTTCTGTCATAGGTTTAATGACAGAAATTTTCTCTTTCATCTTACTTTTTCTATCTTGCTGTATATTTGACATACTATAGATTTTACTCATCTTACTGACATTTTATCATTCAGTAATGATGGGACTTCCTTCCTAATTAGTTGTTCCTTACGTTTTTTAGATTAGTGGGTGTGCTATAGTGTTCTCAAATGAAGTTCCCCAAAAGTGAGAGTTTGCTTGTACACCAGGGGCTACCACATGTAAGGATGACTTTAAGCAAAATACATGGAAAAAAAAAGTCATCAAACACAAAGGAGTGAAATTCTGTTGCAGTTTTGGTTAATGAATACACACTCTTCCTTCTACTGGGGACTCCAGAGCTGGCACAGCACTGTGGGTGGGGTCTCAGGAGAGCAGAGCAGTGGGGCAGAATCAGCTCCCTCGACCTGCTGACCATACTTCTCTTGCTGCAACCCAGAATATTTGGCTTCCTGGGCTGCAGTCACACATTTCTAGGTCACTTATCGTTTTTTCCACCTACAAGTCAAGTCCTGTGCTCTGAGCAAGAAAACCTTGTGTGGGGCAGTTCAGTGCTGCAGAGGTTTAACTAGAGAAAGCTAAAAGAGATCAAACTAGAAAAAGTGTGGGTTTGACATTCAAGATCCTAAAATACGTGCCACCTTTGCATGCATTGGGAGTGAAGCTGGCAGATTTTGTGATTTTGAATTTTAAGGATAACTTTTTGTGGAATTTTGGGTCTTTTCCTATCTGCATGTAAACGTGTCACTCCAGTCTTTAACAAGTGGATGTCACTGGCTTAATACATGTTGTTAACAGCTAACATCTCTGTTATTTTTTTTCTATATTAAATTAAATTTCTCACTTCACTTTACAGGTTTTAACCACATTTTACCATATTTCTACGTGATATATTTCATCTGCTTGCTTGTTCATCGAGAAGCACGTGATGAACATCATTGTAAGCAAAAATATGGCTTGGCATGGGAAAGGTATTGCCAGCGTGTACCGTACCGCATATTTCCTTACATCTACTAGAGCACTCCAGATTCCTGATTGGAAAGTTACTTCTAAAGTTAGTTTCTTGGCAGATAAAAATATACCTCTTACCTTTGCACTTGGTCATTTGTCATTGAGGCTTTTTTTGAAAAAAAGAAAAAAAAAAAAAAAAAAAAGGCCAAACATTGGAGTGCGTCAAAAGTATTTACTTGTAAACTTAAATACATGAGTTATGTGAACTGACTGGCTGTGACTTCAATTCTTAAAAAATTGTGAATTTAAAAAACTCTTGGAGCCCTAAGTTTTCAAGCTAAATTTTATCTAGAATTCCGAGTTTACATTTTTTTTTATTGCATTTGATTAAGCACTGTGATATAAAGTATATTATTTTCTTAATACAATAAATGCTGAAATTCCATCCAGTTCAATTTTTGGTGTTACTTGTACCACCTGACTTCAGAAGTCCAGTTTAGTTGCCTGAATTGGAGGAGCAGCAGGGTCTTTTTTTGTCAGTGAGCTGGCAGCAGAGGGTTTGACCCATGTGAGGAACCTGCAGCCCCAGGCATGAAGCTGGCACAGCTCATCTAGGTGGTTGTTCCCCTTCTGGCTTTTCATTAATGAGATTTTTTTTTTTTTGATCAGGGAGGCTCACATGGTCACTCCTGCCCTGTGCCTGCAGGAGGACTAAGGGATAGAATTGGGAGAAGTGAAGGGGCACAGCTGTCCCCTCCTCCCACCCCATTCTTGAGGCAGTTGCAGCACAGAGCAAGGGGAACTCTGAAGCTGCTGCCTGGCAGTGCCCCATCCAGTGGTCCTGGATGGTAACCATGCTTTGGCTGTAATCAGAGCTGTGGAAGTGAGCAGTGAGCCCTCATGCTGCCGGTAGTATTGAACAAGGAGCAGCAAAAGTGTGCAGTGAATGCACATTGGACAGAAAAGGATCAAATGACCACATTCAGCTTATTCTGATCTTTGTAAATTATGTCTTAATGTACCATAGCGTTTACCAAGTGTGTATAATAAAGCCTCCACGTTTTTTTTCTGTACAGTGTTTGGGTTTGAAAATGCAACAGCTTTTTTTAGAAACAGGAGAAATCAGTAACTAAACCAATTTCCAGTAATTTAAAAAAAAAATGCTCATTGAAAAAAGATTTTTGTAAATTAATGTAGTAGTTCTTGAAACAATTGAAGGGTTCATTTAAATATTTGTATTGACAGATATGCTATGAAAATATAGGAATTGCTCCTCAATCCAAAGTTGTTGTTTTTTTTTTTAATTTGGCATTGCTACCTCATATGTAGGTGTTGCCTTTTGTACTGTTGCAGATAGAGAAATAGCTATTTTTTTGCTATTGCTATTTAAAACAACATTTTTTACATGAGCCTGTGGTTAAACTCAACCACTTTCTAATATATTTTTGTATATATTTGACTTTTTGACTAATGTATGTGTTCTGGTCACTAGTTGTGTTCTTTGTCTAACTGGCTGTAAATGAGATGCCCTTGTGGTATTTACTTCATAAGTAGAATAATTTTACTGAAATACTCTTGCATTAATTAAGTAGCTTCTGTTCTGTTGTCACAAGTAAAAGAGCTTTTCACATACTTCGCACATGAGGTTTATAGCACAAATTACCCTAAAAAACATATTAGAATAATAAATATAGTGCAGGTACCTCTGCACTTGCTTGCGGGATTGTTCCTAATGAATTGGAATGTTATTTATCGAATTTTTTTTTTTTTCAATTCTTCTAAAATGTTGATGTAATTGAAATCTAGCATGTGATTTCTTTTAAAAAATAAAATAACCCTCTATTTTGTACATGGGCATTTTTTAAAGATAATTGTACAATTGAATTGTATATAATGTAGCTTGATTGTTGGTGTTGTAAGGAAAATGTTTTAAGACAAGTACTTTGATTGCTGGCAGAAAATAGTAGTGCCTGTAACAAGACTCGAGCGAATTTACTCCTGTGAAGTAACAGATTAAACTGGGATGCTTTTTTCAATCATTGCTGAGTGAATTTATGGGAAATAGAGAAATCATTAAATGGCACTGGTTTGCAGGTGGTGTTTTAAAATGTACTGAAGGGGATGAGGGCAGTTTAACTCCTCAGTCTGTGAACTCAGAGATGCTCCTGCTGTCCCAGTTTTATCTGTTGCCGTGCAAGGTTGTTAAAATGTCATTTGGAGCCCTTGTCTTTCAGAAATGGATCTTGACCAATGACAACATCAGTTTATTTACATGCTGAATTTTATGTGAATTTGATTTTGAAGTAACTGTTTTTAATACAAACAAGCCTTTGAACTAAAATAAAGGTTTTGCTTAAAATTAAGTAGTGCTTTTTTTTTTTTTTGCCCAGTTGATATTCATGTCTGATAAAAATGACATTGATTTATCTTACTAAGTAGAGGTGCAAGTTTGCTGAAGTTCTTTCTGTACCTGTGGTTGTGGGCTGAGTGTTACAAGCTCACCTTCCCCTAGGCTGCCTAAGAATTTCAAGGAAAGAAGGTCTCTCTATTTCTCCTTTTTCTTCTGCTTTTCCTTCTGCAAAAGCTGACAGATCCACCCTCAGCCTGGGAGCACGTTTGTCCTTTGAATCAGCCCTGTCTTAGAACAGCTCCTTTCTCATCTGTCCAGTGAGATGGGCAGGGCTAATGCATCACCACTTTTTATTCCCCCTTCTGCTACTCAAAAAATAAAAATAATTTCAGCTGTAAAAATACAGAATTAACACTTGATTTCCCTATGTTAGGTTGTATTTCCCCCCACAGCTTCTATTAGAAGTCAAAACCAAGCAACAATTTAATGTAATTGTGGGATATGGACTAAGGGTTGGTGCACAGGAATGAAATGTTGTGTTAGTTTGACCTAATGTGAACAAACCTGTAGTGGAAATAAGATACATGGCAAAAGGAACAGGAAGGATAGTTTTGCTTACAGAAAGTTACTTATCACAAGTAATAAAAATGTTTACCTAAATTACATTTATCATAGCACATTAAAACCTTTCCAGAAGCACAGTTCTTGCCTCCTGTGGAGTGAAAGCTGTTTTGGGGAGTGGGTGTAAAACCTCTCTGGTGTGTGGATGGAGAACATATTGCACTGTCTGTACTGAACTGTCTTCTGCTGGGCACATTCCCTAAAATTAGAAGAAAATACTTTGATAGAGCTTTTGCACTTTAAATATATTTTTAAAAACTTAAAAAAAATTACTCTTTTTCTTTTTTAAAAACATCTGTTCTACTTTTTTGTATATAAAAACAGGAGCAATAATGATGTTATGGAATATCATGAGAAAAATATTTTGTGCCCTATCATGGGAGTGGAAAAACCTTTTGAAGAAAAAACTGAAGTTGCCAAACTGAAGTGGTATTCCAGCTGCTTTTTTGGGAGGGAAAGTGTTGTATTCCCAGCATGTCAGAATTACCATCCCTCTTTCTCCTCAGAACGCTGCCCTGGGCTGCAGCCAAATGTTTCAAGTAATTTTCCTGTTGTACCTCGAGGCAGTTTGTTCGCCTGCCATCTGAGCAGGGATGGAGAATGATGATCCGTTTGCAGTCACAGGCAGATGGATTTCAGCAAACCCTTTTCATGTCTTTCCCAGAGTGACATATCAAATTGCAGACGCTTGGTGGAGCAGGCTATTTACTTGTTGCTTATTGCTGCACCCTGTGTGTTCACAACTAACAGCATCTGCCTTGCTGCTGGAAGAGCAGAATTTTTTCCTCTGCAACCATTGGTTTCTCTGCTTGTCCTCTGCATAAAGGATTGTAGGAGGGCAATGGTTCCATGACTCCACATACCCTTCAGTTCCCTCCTCCCCGTCTGCCACAGGAGGAGAGCTGCTCATGCAGCAGTAGTGCCATAAAGAACAGCTGCTGGACCGCAAGCCCAGCCTGGGGACCTGTGAAATGCAAATGGAGATGACTTGCAATTGGAAATGTTGGAAGGTAGAATATTTGGAGGGGAATTTTGAGGCAGTAATATTTCCCCTGTAAAATACTTCATGTGGGAGATGCTGAGAAAATTTCACTCGGTCCACACAACACCCCTGCAAAATCTCTTTGCAGATGGTCAGGAGAAATATTTAACAGTGATCCTAAGGGTGAGAAACACAACTGCTCAGTGGAAACATGCTCTGACATGCAATGGGAGGGAGACACACAGTGCCTTGCTCCCCCTACACAACCATGAGGCTTGGACTGCGTACATGTTTCTGCCCTTCCTAGAAGCTTCCCAGGGGTCTTCTTTATGCTTCTTGTATTCCCTATTGAAGCCATGTATCAGTAGGTTTAGTCAGCCCCGCTAAGGACCTTGCTCCTGTATTTCAAACTGCAGAAACTTGTAAGTATTGATAAACTGACCAGAAAGAAGATGCACCTAAAGCTTAAAATTAGGTGAATTCCTGTGAAAAGTACTGTAATCCGTGGTAGATCCCTAGTGATGTAAGTGGAAATTAACATGCAGAGAAAGGGAAAATAGATGAACTCAAAGCCACATAAAAATTCAAAACCATTTGCTTTTGGCAACACAGCTTTAAAAAAACACATACTATAACTATCAGTAGAAAAGCCTGGCAAGAGACATGATGCTCATGCAAAGCTATTCAAATAGAATGATGATGTAAAGAACCAAAGCAGAACTATTTCATGCTCTTTTCTACTTGTGTTTTTATAATCCTGTCAAGACTCTGAAAGCAAACAGATATTGCAGACAAAAGGTGGACATTGGAATCATGCAGAAATTTCTGCATGTGTTTATATCTGCTTATCGCAGCCTGCGGGGAATGGAAATTTGCCAGGCTAAAAATTCTCAGTTTCCACCAAAATAAACCTTTGAGAAGTTTCTTGTGAGGAGTTGAGAGCTTGTTGAAGCTGTACTGTACAATTGTACTGTACAAAATTATGTTCTTGTTAACCACCACTTGTGGGTGTCTATTGTACAAATTTCATGTCAGCCAACACCTTTGGAGTCCCACTAGTGGGCTGGTTGCTGGAGTTAAGGCAACTCCACAATAAACTCTGAGTTCCCTGACCCCTGGTCCATTGTCTTTGCTCAGCTTGAGGAGAATTGGTGACAGACCTCACAGCCCTAGCCATGGGTCATGACAACTGTTCCTCCCTCCACCTCCTTCCTTCCTTAAACCAATGAAACCAAGAAAAATTAGATGTCCTGGTTCTGGCCAGGACAGGATTAATTATTTGCAGGAGCTGTAAGGGGGCTAGGACATGGAGGATATTCTCTAGCACCTCACATCCTTGCTGGAGGCAGGGGAAAGGGGCTCTTTTCCAGCCATAAGAGGTTCCTTCCAGACAAGAAAACTTGGCAGAGGGAGGGCTCCAGTATTATCTGTTATTGGGGCTTTTTACTCTGTGGATGGTTTCTTTTCTTCTGCTGTCTGGCATTAGTATTGCTGCT